TCAACATCAACATTCTACATCGACTTCGACATCCATGGCATCGACATCGACCCTACAAGTTCCAGAGTTAACACCTGCGAACTCTACAGGCGGAGTACATCATTGACAGCGACAAGCAGCCATTTAGCATCAACAAGCAAGTAGACATCGAGACTACGATGCGTGAACGCGGCACGGTGACAGACATCGGTTGGCGGCGGCGAGCAGGCGGCTCGCCACCGCCAACCGAAATACCTCCTAATTACATAAGGACATAAATTACTGTTCATCAATTACATGGATATAGCATGTGTAATAATGAAATAAAAAAACATTACTAAATACTCAAAGTTATGAATGTTAGTTTTTTAATAACATCATTCCGATAGTGTTGCTACCTAAACCCAACAAAGGAACAGGACAGTCACTGCGACTTGGTAAACCCATCATAGGCAGGCCAGCAGTTACGGTTGCTCCAGGGACCGAAAGATCACGCGCACGATGATATCGTTCACGTTGCGCATCTTCGGGAGAAGAAGGTCGTAGGGCAAACGATGTACATCCCTGTACACAGCATCCGTGTTATCTCGTAAATACTCAGAATATGAGGTGGCGAAGACAACCATCACCGACTCCGACCACTACTCATTCTGCCTTTTGCTTTAGATTGTCCAAATGAATCAGTTCTCGATGTCCCTTTCCAAATAATGAAAGTTCACCACGCAGCTTTGGCGGCAAGCTGGTGAAGAGAAGAAAAACAGAATAACATAATTGGAAAGCTCACCTTGCAGCACTAGCAGCAGTAGTTGAGGGTGCCACAGCAAGTACTTCAATGTGGAGATTCCTTGCGCCCAGAAGGACTGGTAACTCATTGGTAGCAGGACGTATACCAAAACCTTCTGCCAAAAGACCTGGAAGATGTTGCCCTGGCAGCTGATATGCTGGAACACCTAATTCTGGAGCAGCCGCAGTTATCTCGCAGAGATCGGAGGAACTATACTCAACAGACGTTAAGACAGAGAGTGAGCGATTGATCTCGAAAAGTTTTTCCAAAGGTCAACTTGCACACTTGTACTTGTAATAAAATTAACAACCCTAGACTTGCAGAAACTTGTAATAACCCACCAAAGGCTAAAACTGCAGTATAGCAGCAAAAAGGTCGAACCCACAAGGACAGAGACAACACATAGAGTACTAAATGTCACGTTTTAACATACTATTGAAGAGTTTGAATTCTCAGGCGACTGTCACTCCCACAAATACTGCAAGTGCTCAACTCGGAGCTCACTCGGAGGACGCACAGTGCAGCTTAGTTCTACCCAACACACACCTGAAACTAGAAAAGCACAACTAAGAGGTCAATTAGGACATCCACTCAAGGTTCAGGGGGAAAGTTTCTCACAAGTACATTCAGAGTATCTGCAGGTAGTGTTCTCCAACTCCGGATTGTTAACTCTGACTGTTAGAGCAGAGCACCCGGGTTAGACTTCCTACTTCGGATGCGGTACCTTCGTCAAACCGAAGTCACTCACACGCGGTGAACAACACTCTCAACTCACAAAACGCGGAGAGAATACAGGAACCGAACTGAGAAACTCCACTGAAAAAAGCTCCAGTGTCACACCATAACAGTCTATTGACGATTTTGAATTCTCAAGCACTAGTCATTCCCAGAAATATTGCGGAGGCTACCCCCGAAGGCGCCTCAAACAGCGCACAACCTGAATTGTTAACCAAGGCTTACTCGAAGTAGCAAAACTTCACTTTGGCATTTAGGGGGGAAAATCCCGAAGGAGTACAAACAGGAACAATCATCCGAAGGTGTAAGTCTGAACTGCTCAAGTATCTAACCAGTCACTAACTCTGAACATTTAACGATCACTCCAAAGGTGAAAGTCCGAACCACTCAAATATCTAACCAGTACACTAGCTCTGAACATTTGGCCGAAGGCCTTCAGCTATAAAATGCGGTAACTTCGTCAAGCTGTAGCTCTTCTTGCGCGGTGACAGAACTAAGGACACAAACACGCACAGAAAATGAGTTCCTGAACTGCACTTCCAAAACTGGAAAATCCCCAAGGCAAAACGCCTTGAACTACTTTATACCTTCTAAGTCCTAACTACCTAACACTCTATTCTAAGCTACACTCCATGTCATCTGCTATGCCTCCTGTGCGATGTACAACCGCGCAGTGCGTCTATACCAGACCACTCCTCTGCTCTACTGCGCAATTCCAGCCGCCGCAACACCGCATACACCTCTGCCTCGAGGTTCGCAATGGCTTCTCGCGACCTTGCCAGGAAGGCATCTAACCGCTTCGCCACTCGCCGCCGGCTCCGACTGTCACCCGATATCAAGTCCGCCGCACGAATCTCTAATCCGCGCAAGGTGATTCTCTCCTGCGCAGCCACTTCCCAGCGAGTGTAACCTCTCAGACAGCGGTTCACTCGCTCTACCAACTCTTCTTGCGTGCGATCTGTCGTGCGCCGGTTGTCGCCTTCAATCTCTACCAACTACAGCTCTGCCTCCGCACGTTGCGCTCTCAATTTGTCGCACTGCGATTGCAGGCGACGCAATAACTCCTCATCTACCTGGCGTGCGATCTGACACTGCTCCAGCAACCGTGTCTGCCGTACGAGCTCCTCCGCCAAAGTGCTATTCTGAGCTCGCTCAGAATTGAGCTCTGCCTCGAGCTTCTCCCGTTGCTTCTCAAATTCTTTCTGTGCCTCGGCCACCTTGCTATCGCGCAGCTAGTTTACTACCTTCTACAATTTCCGCGAGAGCGTGAGGTGTCCGTGCAGGGCATCGTTCTTCAACTCCAACTCCCTACACCTGTTGTCTAGGGAAATCAGTATAAGACTCGTCGCAACTTTGGTTCGCGTCCGATTCCGCACCAATTCGACGTAGGATCCCCGATGGCGAGGATCACCATACTTCGCCACCTTGCGATCAAGGTACCGCAGTAGGGGTACCACCTGCTCACACAATACTCCTGTCGACGTGCCTTGCACCGACTCCACTTCCTGCTCTTCTGAACTGGACTCGTCCTCTTCATCTTCTAAATCGAGGATCTGTGTCGCCGCGATTCCCTGAAATTGGGTTGCGTGGCTTCTGCTACTACAACCGTCGCTCTACTCCCGGCCAAGATATCCAATGCGGTGGGAGATCTGGCTTTCGGCAAATCTGCTTCTCCTACCCGATTTGCTACCGCCGAAGGCGCTTGCGCCGCTGGCGACTCTGCCGAAGGCACATGTGTTTCCTCCTTCCGGCCTTCGTCCGTGGCCAATTTCTCAAGTTGGGCCTGCACTGAAGGCGTCTGACCCAAAGTCCGCTGAGCCGAAGGCTCCTCCCCACTCTTCTTCTGCGCCGAAGGCTCTTGACCCAAAGTCGAGTCGTCGAATGGTACTTGCTCAAAGGCGAAGCACCTGTCTGTCGCCGGCACACTCGTCGGTGCCGCATGATGTATTCCTTGGCCCGAAGGCCTTCTCGCTTCCTCTGAAGGCGTCCGTACCTTCGGTGCAGGGAGGTCCGCTGACCTCTCGCTAGCTCGTGCACTCGCATCCTCCTCCGAGGATAGCGAGTTTCTCCTCTCTACAGCTAGTTCGGTGTCTGTGCTGCTTGCCGGCAGGACGAGCCTGCGAGCCTTCTGCTCTTCTGCTGCCGTGAACTCCCTACACTCGCTGCAAGTCTCCGCAAACTCTTTGCGCACTCGAGTCGCGAGCTCCGTCTACCCACCCATTGTAACTTCTCTGCGCAAGTCCTCCGCGAAGCTCCAACAATAACCTTCTTGCTGCGCACTCAATTGCCGCACACTCTTCTGCAACAACACTCTACAATCTCTCCACAAGTCTCTCCGCAAGGCTCCTTGCTCCGCACCTCAAGCTAGAGCGTAGGCGAAATCAAAAATGCAAGAATGAGTCTTCCTTCGGCGATCAAAATTTCACCTTTCGACACTTGGGAGTGGGGTCAACGCACTTGATTGCAGCGCCGGCATGGAGGCGTAACGGCCTCCTGCGCACGCTCGACTTCACGCTCCGCCGTTGTGCGAACTGCCACACTTGAAAATTGAATTTGATTCCGCCGCTCTCCGTCAATTTTGCCTCGCTCGCGCACCGCCGAAGACGTTGCGACAAAGAACTTCGTTTCGGCTGGTTTCTGATTTACTTTCTGCGCATCGCCGAAGGCGTTTCGCCGAAGGCGTCAACCGCCGAGGGCGCTTTGCCGAAGGCGTACGACCGAAGTCAATGCGTCTTGTCGTTTTTGATGTCGTTTCTTTTCCTGCCGAAGGCGCTCTTACCGCAGGTGCTCCTTTCCGCCGAGGGCACATGTGTCCGCCGAAGGCGAAACATAACATCAAAGCGCTTGCGCCGAAGGCGCTTGGGCGAAGGAGTCTACCGCCGAAGACGCATCGCCGAAGGCGTAGTCTAGCGACGAAGTCGCTTTCCCTTAACGAAGGCGCTTGCGTCCCAAGCCTCGTACGTCCTCAGCGAAAGCTCTTGTGCAGGGGTTTGAGCCGAAGACGCATTCTCCTGCTTGCGCCGAAGGCGCTTCGCCGAAGACCCCTCAACAAGAAAGCTTTTGCCAAAGGCGGCAGAGGCGCTCTACTCAGTAGGAACCGTACGTTCCGGCCAATGCACCTGTCCTCACATTGCGCACACCTCGATGATTCTCCGTGACCCGTGATCTTCCATTTTTACTCTATTTTAGTGTACCGATTACTATTTACAGTTGCTGCTGAGGTTTTCCAAAAATGTTTAAATTCCGCACAAAAACAAAAAGTGGGTTACCACAAAACTTTTGCCTTAGCTAGTAGTTTTTGCTCCTCAGTCTGTCAAAAAGATAGAAATAAGTTTGTCCATCGAAGGAAAAAGAAAATGAGGTTCAGACTGTGTATCTTTAACACAATTCTCAAAAGCGGAAACAACAGAATTTATCAGGGAAATGTAAAAATAAATCAAGGTGTGAATCAAAATCAATAGACAGCTTCCTACTGACGGTTTCTTCTAAACTCCTTACCGGTGCTTTAAGAGCACGGAACTTGTGTACAACGCGCACTACGTGCTCAAGGTGCACTTTGAGTGTATCTTCCTCCATTAGTCCTTGTATACGCTGTAACAAAACCCTCGCACTTCCCTGTATGACGTAAAGAAAACCTCAGCAAGCAATAAAGATTGTGAAGAACATGACCGGATGAAATCTGAACAATCATCTTCACGTTGAAGGAGAAACAAGAAAGATACTTACAACAGATAGCGAGGTGCTGAGCTCACGGAACCAGCCAATTGTTCTCGGCGGTTAGAAAGACAAGAAAGGACCTCAAAACATAGCTGCGTCCTTTCCACAAAAAACCACCCAAATACTTAGAGAAGCATACAGGATCTCACCTTTGGAATTCCAGGTAGTCCAAATACTCAAAGTAATCAATGTTAGTAAAAGCTGATATTATGAATATTCTTATTTAAAGTTTAAATCTAAATAAGAATCTTGATAAAATAATTTTTTTAAAAGATCTTATTCTAACCACCAAGATACCTTAGTTCTTGGAATATGCAAAAGCATCCTTATCACGGCCTTTAATTTTATCTATTGATTTCGTATGCCAGAGCTCACTAGTGTCATGGGACTCGATAGATACTGAACTTACTCATATACTTTCCAGATTTGGTGGATCAGAATTTGGTCTCGTGCCTTTGGTCTTTGTCTGGGGTGGAGATGTAAGCCGTATGTATAACGCGCTATGCAAGACGTGACTGATTCACTTTACTGAAGAAGCTAGCATCCTGCAATATTTTATGATGCCAGAGGCACAAGTCATCAAGACATCGATAGATTAATGAATCCGAAACGAAACGAATCGAAAATGTTTGATCCTCGATGTAAGACGCATCGAGTATCAAAGATATATATTTTATGTATGAGATTCTCTGATGTTTTATATGTCTCCGACTATGACCCCACATGGGGCCATTAGGCATGAATGACCAACTGTAAAGCACATATCTCGAGCAGGGGAGATCTTTGTCTCGAGGCCTCCTGACAGGGAAGAAATTCTTTATCTTTCTGAAATCTTGGACATGTTTTGCTGATGCTTTAAATCTTCATTTACGTATAATATAAGACACATAAATATACATAAATATACAAGTAGACAACATCTAGAGAAGATAACAAGCCTTTGTCAAGACTGGATTGACTTCTCGACAAGATAATATAAGAACAGCAAATCACGGACAGATCCTAATGTCTCACAAATATTTTTGTTGTAAGTTTCCGTTTGCAATATTCTTTTGTAGGCGAATATAGTCTGGGGGAACGTCCTACACCATTCTTCTCAAGGTGTCCATGTAATAGAAAGTAACCGATTTTCGAAGAGACAGTGAAGAGAATCTCTAATTTTAACCGGGTGCATTCTTCACTGTTGGCAAAGTGGATAGGATCACGGTGAAGCCAGATAAATACACCTAATTATCCATATTCTACCTGAATTCTTGCATCTTCCTAGATTATATATCATGTCTCACGGAACAAGGAATAAGAAATTTACGCCAGAGTAAAGGATAAGGAAATGACGAAAGAAAGCACGTACAGCAGGAAAGTAATAGAAGAAGAAGGGCCCAGAGCATGTGTTCCTGTTGTTAAAGATGGGTACACCTTCTCTAAGTTCTAGTAGTATACAGAAGAACCAATCATAAGATTGAAGGCTTATAAAGCCCTCTGGAAGGTTTTCCATTGTAACTTTTCTGAGTCTTCTCTAAGATTGAGGTTAGGGTATTGGGTGATTTCTAAAATAATGTAGACTAGCTACGACTTGGCATCGGTGCATAAGGCCTCTTTGCGAATCTCTGAGAGGCCGATGATTGTATACCTTGATGTGTATCGCAGAGGTTCTGAGGACGAGACTGAAAAAGGTTTGAAATTACTCAGTCTGCTGAATGTGGTTCAACTTGGTATCGAATATAAGTGACGAGATTGATAACTTGACTGATGATCGCCACATGAGAGTATTGTCTTGATATATAAGGTGAGATCGATGAATTTCTCGCAGCTGTGATGATTGGGCTAGAGTGAGGCAATAAAGATATTCAGCAATAAGTCAACTCAATCTTTACTCCTCAACTTGAATGGGTACTCGCTTGGGCACAGCTTTGACTTTCAACTTTGATTGGACTAATATTGAGAATAGATCTGAGAAGAAAATCTGCTACTCACAACGTCTGTACATGAGATTCAGTGGACAATAAATGGCTTATGGATAGTGTCTTGTGATCTCTTTAAGCATGAAACGGTCACCACTACTATTATGGTTTTCTGAACGAAGAACTTTCAGGCATGGTTATGGTCTACAGCACCTATTACATCTGATGAAGGTGTGGTTCTCTTCTGTTGACCTTCTTGAGATACTTTCGTGTGACTATGCTAACGTAACCTTTTTCTTGAAATCGACTACCAGCTCCTGACGTGGACAGTTATGTGGAGAGGATTTCGATATCTATCCTACTTAGATCATTTCATCGAAAATTGTCGGTTTAGTGTCAACGCGATACTCGAACAACCATGATGCCAAGTCATGTCTAGAAGCTGTACTGATCTATCATCAGCCTCTACTTGACTCCATGCTTGACCTTAATGTGATAGCTGGTGTTGATCACAATCTGAGATTACTTCTTCGATTACCATCCGTAATTGCGGATGGTAATCCTAGTCCTCTGCAATAGATGATTTCAGGTTTTACCCTTTTTGCTGAATCTTCAGCGCTATGTAATTTCTCCCCAGCTATGTATAAGAACCTATTCGTTGTTATTTACAGTACAGTGGTATGTGCAGCTCGAGATCAGTATATGAGCCGGAGCTTCAAATTTTTTTGTCAGCAGATTTACTGTCCTTAGTATTTTCGAACAAGCTCACCCTGAGACCTTGTTCTCAAGTTTTCTCCCTGAAATACTCATGGGCCCGGACATGGAATGAGCGGGAACAGGAAGTGTGATACTAGCGTCAAAGCACGGATGACGAACTGGTGATAGGTGGCAGCCAAGGTAGCTCCGATGAAGGGACCAACCCAGAAGATCCACTGCTCAAAGCAGATGTACCAAATTACAAGCCCTGTCATCTGCTGTCGTGCAGAATGTTCATGCGAGAGCGAGAGACTGGATCTTGGATTTTCTGAGAATTTCGGTCAATGGGAAGAGTTTGACATAACACATTTAAGTGTGATAGGTTGAGATACTATGAATCACCTGGTCATTTTAAACTTGCTGGTAGTTCGAGAGAGCAGCCGGGCCGACTCTTTGTGCAGGGTTGATTCCACAGCCAGTGATGAGAATGGTCGCCAGATGGACAACGAAAACTGCAAGCCCGACGGGCAATGGGGCGAACACCTGGGACATCACAGCACCTCCAGACATTAAGTCTCGTCTTCCATTTGAACCAGTTCATCATGATTTATGTGACTCTGACCCAGTTTCAGAAGCTGCATTTGGATTCATCTGGGAATTCACTCTTCAAGAATCCACATATATGATGATTCTTGAACCTACCGGCACATCCTCGTCACTAAAGGCTCCTCAGAAAAGGGGGAACGCGAGCTCTGCCCGCCCGGGCCCGCATCCCGACCTCCCGCTTCGACCATGGAGGCCCTCCCGCTTTAGCTCGCCCCACTCCCACTCGACCATTGGGCTCTTTCCCTCGCGGCCTCCCTTCCCCGCAGGGAACTTGTACTTCGTATTTTTTTGCTCCCCCATGCCCCATTTCTCCTCCCCTCGCCACGTAAACCAGTAAGAAATTTTCGATGATTTCTGCTGCTGGACATGTGCCGATGTTGAAATCTGCACTGATGGTATTCGTCGCACCACCCACGACCTGGAGTGGAGTTTTGGGCAATCCTTGACGAGTCCTGCTCCACAGATAATTCCCGCCATTTGCGCAACCTTGTAGATGAAAGCCCGAGGAACCAAAAGCTTGCTACCCAAAAGTTGTCCCAAAGTAACTGCAAGGTTAATGTGTACTGTTAATGTGTAAAGAACAGATGAATTAATTAGAGTGCAAAGAATTAATTAGAGTACTGCCATATATGACAGCCATGAACAATGGAAGTCACTATGAGAATATTTCAGCTTCTATTTGTTTTGCAGATATAATACTTTGATCACAATAGCTGCGATAGACGCTGGGTAATATAATTGTTCTGGATAGATGTTGGTAATGTAATTGTTCTGGATAGATGTTGGGATGTTAATTCAAATTTGATCATATTGAAAAATGACTCTCAATTTTTGGACCGAGCATACATACTAAAACTAATGTCTTTTCGCAAGACACTGGATTATTAACTAGGGATACGAACCTGCAGATGACCTAAAAAATCATCATCAAAACGCTCGTAGCTACAACCAGAACGAAGCGATGGAGCAGAGAATCTCCTGCACACATGCACATGCTTGTGACTCTCCTGCTGATGTTGTGAATATGGAGGTCGCGATAAGGTTTGAGTCAATTGAAAGGAATCGTCACATGGTCAGACCCACGGGACGCTTTTTTATCATCTGGAATAAACAAAATTTTAAGGGAGCCAAAAATAACGCTCCACTTGCAGTTTTTGGCAACTTCTTAGACCATGTGCAGGTTCCTCCCTAGCTAATAATCCAGTGTGTGAAAACAAAACATCCTGTCTCGTATGTATGCATGCTCGGCCCAAAAATTTGTAATCATCTTCCAATTTCATCGAACAACCTTGCATCTATCACAACAATTACAATACCCAGCGTCTATCACAACAATCTGCAAAGTATAACACACTACAGTAGTTGCATTCTTACATCACATTTGTCCTTCACAAGGGTAGTAAATTGCGAGATTGCAATTTATATTATACTTACTGACTATTGCAACACAAACTTGAGAAATAGCGTTGGGTGTTGAATAAAAGTCTCAAACATTATGAAAATCAAAAGCTCGCGTTCTAGAGCAATATAGTGACGGGTCGAAGCAATCGACTGAAATCACAGAAATGTAAGTGCATTTCCGTGTCGAATTACAAAAAAAAGTCAGAATTATTTTTCTTGAAGAAAACATAAATTTTCATGACAATCTACACTATTCTACTGTTACTTCTATATGAGTCTGTAAAATATAGGGCCTATTATTGGATTTAATTGCAATTTTATAAAATATCAATTAAAGAAGCTCGATCTAAAACAACAAGTCACAGAAAATCTTATGAGTAAAAATCACAGCTTCTGTTAGCCAAGCTTTTTCAAACCCACACACCCACTACACAAAGGGCACAACCCAAGAATGCCCAGACTTTGACTTCTCCCTTTGATGTCAAGTTTTTTACAGTTCATCCTCAAACTGTAAAAAACTTGCCATCAAAGGGAGGAGTCAAAGTCTGGGAGTTTCTGTCATCCATGTCAAACTCATCCGCTCCGAACTCGCTGTTCAATGCCAGAAGATCCTCCTCAGCATTCAAGTACTGAAGGTAGACATTGGCCTCGCCATTCAATTCCAGAAGAGATTGAGAAGCGTCAAGGTATGATGGAGCCACATAGTAAGGTATAACATATCCAGCAACCTATCTAATTGGTTGCTGTTCATCCAGTTGTCATTATTGTTCAAGTGCATACTCCCTTTCTTTCACTGCTATGTTACATCTTTTCTCGATACCGTTTTCGATGTTTACATGTCATATAAGCATTAAGAAGATTGCTAGAAAACATTTGTAACACGTTGACACAAAATTTTCCAATATAAAGCAATAAATTAGTAAATATTTTAGTTCTCACATTTTGCAGAAAAGCCCACTTGAATCATTGTATGCATAATTCAAAATTCAAAATTTACATGTTTTAATAGTGGTTAACTATGTCGCATCTTGTATTTATTCCGGCTCGTGGAAATATGTCAGCACGATTAACACTATGTTATTGAGATATAACTTTCTCTTAAGCTACTGTTTGCACGACAAAACAAATTTCTTCGGACAAAGATCACAAACAATTATACTATATATACACTCACAGATGCCACTCAAAATACCATGATTAGCAGCATTACCATCACCTATTGATGGTTTATGAGACTATAGAGGGTATTCAGTGTCGGAACATAAGAATCACCACATATTTGATACGCACCTCTCTCGACACTGCTTGCCATTTCTACTAGGCAATGACCGAGCGATGGCAGCCATCTCTTGGTGCAGAACGTGTTAACCAATTCCAGCAACTTATCATCCTCCTGCGAAATTTAGCTACTTTTATCAATCATCACATTTCTCAAACGTAGGATCTGGGGAACCTCACTCTTGTAATCAATACGTGGTTATATAAGAATCACTTACCTCTTTGGTCCAGTATCCTTTCACGAGGGCAGGATCAAGGACCTTCTGCCCGCGGTGAAGGCACTTAACATCTGACCGGTTGGGTAATTTCGCAGCTACACATGCCATCATTCCAACACATATCTTGAGATTTTACACAGAAGAGTTGTGGTCACAGCAGTTAAAAATTACCAAAGTAGTTAACTACTTACCTAAAAAAACTCGTACATGTGTACTCACCAATTTGTTTCCCATTTCCGCCTTTGAACTTCTCAACTGCTGCTCGCAATGCTGCGTCCTGTGACAGTCGCCTTGGGTTCACTAAAATTGCAAAACTCAGTCACTGCAGATATTCACTTCCAAACACCTGTGGATGTTCATCAAATATTACATTGAATACGAGTGGTCAGAGAACCAGATCCTACTTAAAAATACTACAGATGGTGCAGGGCAAGTTAAATATCGGACTCAAAAAATATATCCTATGACTAAGCTTGATAATGAATCAAAGAATCTACCTTAAGTTGTACTCGCCAATCTAAGCACAAATTATCAACAATATGAACCAAAATAATCACTCATACTTAGAGGAACTCGAGTGCTTCCTCTGAAGGTCGTGAACATCATGGAATCAAAATCGTGACAGACTCCACTTTGGACCTGTCGATTCTTCAAACTTTCCAAAGACTGATTCGTCTACATAGAGGCTAAACAAGTATTAGGTATCAGCCAAGGCTTGACTCACTTCTTCCGCCTTCCACGACATGATTGGCTTCCTTGGTCGCGGAGCACGATAAACTCTCACCTTCTTCCTGTTACATTCACAGAAGCGACAAGAATATTCGGCTTCAGAGACCATGCGTCATCTGGATCTACATGGAGACAACAACAGAACGCAGTGTAAGTGCGAGCGAAATAAATTGTGCTTACCCTTTTGCGTCAAGGGGAAAATCCACGACTGCCTCAGAAGGCAGGTTCGGCCGCTAGAATTGCTTATGTCTTCGAGGCATCTCCTGAGTGGCAACTTTGGCACTGTCGAAGATGAGGATCCCTCCATTTTCTCCAAATTCGAATTGGAAGCAACTCTTTTCACTAAACTGGTAACTTAGAAGCGCAAAAGTTAATGTAGATGACATACATGGCCAACTCGGATGGTGCAATATAATATGATAGAGAAAATTTTCTGTATGTATGACCTGCAATTTTGAGCAATCAATGAGCAGTTTATGATTGGAATTGATTGCGATGACTCGGCCAGACCCTACAACTATTAATATTTTATTTCATTTGTACACTAACCACTGCTGTTGAGACTGATCATCGATTGATCTTGTGAAGCGACAATCTCCCATGATATATCTGTTTGAGTGTTTGATTTCAACATTGATAACTAAGGCAATTTAAAGACTTTCTTGTAGTAATTAAAACAAGTCATCTCAACAATACACTGAAGTCAAAGTAAAATTGTAAAGAATCGTGCAGCTCGGGATAGTTGAAGAAGTGAGGGGTTGTACATGACCGTGCAATTCAGAAACATAACCGACTTTGCATTTCAACCCAAAACCAAGCTCACATTGCAGTGTCGACCTTAAAGAGAAACTCGTAACCTTCTATACATGACGTGACTGCGTTGCTTCTATCGTATCATTTCAAAATACAAAAGCTCATTTGCGGACACCGTCGCTCAATATAGCTGCATGGAAGTGTAGAGTCGTGGAAACTGAGCAAAAGGTCGGGAAAGCAGGTGGTCGTTGGGAGTCTCAGGTTTCACGCTTATCGACAGAAACAGCCAGCAACTGAAAAGCAGCCGTGACATCTTACCTTAATTCAACGATCTAAAGTATCTATAAACACTATCTAGCTCATGCTGTTAATTGCAACCATCAAACCATATCTGCTGTCTTTTGGAGACAATAGGATAGCATTGTCAGTATGTGTAGTTTAAAACCAATACGTTGTGGTTGCCACAAACATCTTTGTCTTCACTCTCAGAAGCTAGAAAGAAGCAACAGTTCTCCAACTTTCATTTTGAATGTCGGCGGTATAACAATACTAAAGATTTCCGTTCTGGTATTTTGAATTTGGTGACCATGTGTTTACGACGGTCGCAGAATTTCACAACGGAATTCACACCAAATCGCAGCCACCTCTCAAATCCTATCAAAGTGCTTTATAAGGAAAACTACGACGCTTTCCATTAAGCATGAAAATGAAGTTTGCACCTAATAATCAATTGTCTACTTCACACATGACAGTCCTCAGGACAGCCCCAAGGGACTCAACAAGGAGTGGGTCTTTTGTTTTCCATGCGCATGTCACGCTTGAAGGTTGAAGTAGTCCTTCGCAAAATCTATGAAAGCACAGTTGCATAATTGTAACGGGATACTTCGCATGCAAATCACAAGATTTCACATCTTACTCTCCCATTGCAGAGAAAGATAATATAATGTCAGCAGGTTTTTTTTTTCGCAGTTCATAATCTTCACTACATACATCGTTAGCAAAAACAATGAAGATTCTGACATAAAATAAAACCTGCTGAATTTATCTTGCTGGCTTTTGGTGCAATGGAAGGGGAAAATGTGGAATCCTGTATTTGACATGATGACATCATATAAGAGATTTCAAAAATATTCAACAACCACGATGTAGTCAAATTTACAAGTCTCACAACCAGGGTGGAGTCAATCTTGGATTTTCTGAGAGTCTTCTGTGTGAGCTTTCCTTGAGCATGCAAACGTTGATCAATTATGTCTGCAAGGAGCTGTCACAACCTTGACAATCCTTAAAAAGTTAGATCAACATTGGCATTAGCAACATGAAAACAAAAAGCTTCTGTTCGTTTCAAGAACTTACTGACATTATCAACTATTGTGACGAGACTGAAAATCGATTGTTCTTTTGAAGCGACAATCTCCTACAGTCTATGTGTTTGAGTATGGGATTTGAAATATTCATATCGTGTTATAACTAAAACAAGTCATTTCAACAATGCACTGAACTCAAAGTAAAATCGTGTAGCTTGGAAGTTGAAGAGGTGGGTTTTGATCGACATACCTGAATGTGAAATTTAGAAACGAAACCGACTTCGCATTTCAACCCAGAGCTAAACTCACTACTCATTTCAGTCTCGAGAGACACCAGAAACGCTTGGAGCTTGTGGTGATAAAATCGAAAAATTTTAAAACTGTCAATATTATGGAGAAATAAGGAATCATTTCTACATGAAGTAAGTCCGTTGCTTCTATCGGACCATTTCAGAAGACAAACACTCAATTGCGGACGCTGTCGTTCAACACAGCTGTCTGGAAGTGTAGAGTCTTGCAAACTGCGCAAAAGGTCGTGAAAGCAGGTGGTCATTGGGCTTTCAGGTCTCACGCTCATTGACAGCAACAGCTAGAAACGAAAGAGCAGCCATGTCTTAAGACCGGAACAGAACGGATGTATCAAAGGAAGAAAGGTCGCTATACCGTACTTACAAGACCTATTCCAAGAAGAAGAATCCAGAACATAGCGAATCCTTGGAAGTTGATTACAAGCTCATTCCGGTAATCACAACCTTAAAACTTCAGTAGATGATGGCCGTTGTGTGGTGCTTGGAACTCTAAGAGCTCACAACTAGGATGGAAACGCGAGAAGTGAAATAGGTGGTGAGAGTAGCATATGATGATAATTATATGGTGAAAATAAAATTGTAAATATACAAATTTTGATTGTTTGAAAGAATAATTTATTTCTAAAACTATTTTTTATTGATTTTTTATGCATTCCTAACAATAAAACTCAGATATGATTGTAAAACTTTAAAATTGAAAATATATACTAAAAATTTTTATATTTATTTGAAATTCAAATTTAATATGAAACATATTAAATAAACACATATATCGTCGAATATATATAAAAAATTACTTCAATATGTTTTATTTTCTTTTCTTTTTATAAATTAAAGTTCAAATTCATTTTTAAAACTATTGTCTTTTTAGGATTATATAAAAATATTTTAATTTTTTTTTAAATCCATCAAAATGTTAATATTTCAATATTACAATTTAGAACAATATTTTATCGAACTTATATTTACACACTCATTATATACAATATCTATTGGTTTGAGTGGCGAAGTTGGAAGAATGCACTAGCAAAGATATTTACTTGAGGACATCTTTATGTCATATTATTGCTAGGGATAGAACAGGGTCTTCTAGTCTTGGAATTGAAGAAGAGCGTTAGTTGAACATTAATAAGAATGAATATATTTGTAGGCTATGTGATGGAAAAAAATTGAATATGAAGAGCATGTATTTCTTACTTGTATTAGATATGTTGAGATTAGAGTGACTCATAAAATTATTGTTAAGATTTGTTATTTTATTTTTCAGCTTGAGCCTTATAATCTAGGTTGTTACATTAGGGATGTTATTAATTATTGTTTTAGTGCTTTGGTCACTAGTTAGGGAATTCTTTTGGTTCTCTCCTAGGTTAGAGTTGGTTGTTTGTATTGTGTTTTTAGCATTTTGACGCTTTGGGTACCACGGTCTTGATCTATTTACCACTATGATAGAAGAAGTAGCACGAAAGAAATAGTGTGAGTAACAAGTCTGCATGGACGATCTTGAATTTACTAACGATGAAATCATATATTTGACATATCATTTCTTGTATCATTGGCAAGCCAAGGACTCCCATTACTATTTTTCATTTGCGCTGTCAGGAATATTTTTATTTCGCAACCATCAAGGCGGAGATGCTTATGCAACGCAAACGAATAAATTTTAACCCGCACGTTTGAGAGGTGGTAGTAGTTGAGTTGTTTAGCTAGCCGGGGTTTGCTCGGGTAAATCCAGGGTAACCAAATTTCACATTTCAAAACTCAGCTACAAATTTTATACTACAAAAGAATATTCTTAAACGACACGTTTTAACAATTTCCTCTCGTTTAAAATTTGGAAAATCGTGGCTGCAAAACGCAGCGGATTGGTTTGACCTGGAATGAAACGTTATGATCAGGCATGTTCAGTCGCACCCTCTCCTTCTTGATTCGTCATTGTCGGCTGCTGGTCTGAAGTGTGCGAAACTAGACCCGTTGAGATATATTGCACAGGTCGATGATCAGGCCTGGACAAACTCCAGAAAGTGAAGTGCGGTTTATAACCTGTGAGGACTAGCCCGGACTTGCCGATGTTTGCAGGAACGACGGTAAAACATTTGGGTCACGCATCCAACTGTCAGGAATTTGACGAGAGCGCTTCTTCAACGAGGATCGAATGTTTCATATCAGAGTGGCGTCCTGATCTCCAGGAAGATCGCTACGATCACATGTTTGGTTGACATCAGTGTTGTAGATTGCGTAACAATCTGTGAAAGCGTAGTCCAAGGGACGGAGCAGGGACTTTGAGTGGAAGAATGCCGTATTGTGACAGGAATATCCTACCGCTGTCAATTACTAGAGAGATGTGAAATCACGGAGTTCTTTCTGGTAACAGCCATCCTGTGAAACTTATTTGCTGGAAAGACGAGAGGTAGTGATTTCCTTAGTAGGTATGGTAGATTTAGTGAAAAAGTTGGAGACATTGATCCGATAATAAACATTTTCGTCTCAAGGATCATTGTTTCTCATATGTTTATGTAAGAATAGTTTGGTTATATAGGGTTTAAGTTAGTGAACTACTGAACATTGATCCAATAATAAAAATTCTCATCTAAAGGATCATTGTTCCATAAATGTTTCCTTGAGAATAGCTGATTATATAGGGTTTATCCTAGTTTCAGGGAATCAGTTGAAGACATTAATCTGATAATGAAGATTTTCGTCTAAAGAATCATTGTTTAATAAATGTTTTTGTAAGAATAGCCTGCTTATATAGTGTGTGTGGTAGTTTTGGCTAACTAGTCGGAGACATTGATCTGATTATAAAACTTTCCATCTAAAGATCGTTGTTTAATAAATCTATCCTTGACAATAGGCTGATAATATAGGGTTTACAGTCGGTTTAGTAAATTAGTTGGAGACAATGATCCGAGAATAAAGATTTTAGTCTAGCAAATCAGTGTTTTATAAATGTTTCTGTGAACATAAGGTTTGGTTATATGTAGTTTATGGTAGATTTAGTGAGCTCGTTGGGGACATTGATCCGACAAAAAAGATTTTAGTAGAAAGCATCATTGTTTCATAGAATAGGTTTGATTTTTTTAGAATTGTCTCTGAGAATAGGTTGATTATGTAGGATTAACGGTCGCTGTAGAGAGCTTGTTGGAGACATCGATCCGACATAAAGATTTGAGTCTAAGGGATTTTTGTTTCATAAATTTTTTGTGAGAATAGTTTGGTAAAACAGGGGTTATGGTAGTTCTATTGTATAGTCGGATACAGAGATCCCTCTTTAAACATTATAATTTAAAGGATCCTTGTTCCATACCTTGTTCTTGCTATGTTGGGATAGTATCGAGCCTGCAAGTCTAGATTAGATGTCATGTGGGAGCATGATGAATCCTCATGTGAGATTCACCATGATACCTTATGATAACCTAGATGATGATTACTTATTCATCATTCTTTCTTCGTATGATGAATATGATAACTCCCGTACCGTCGGGTTTTCTCTCATTTCAAACGATAAGGGGAAGGCTCTGATACACGCTCACCTCGTATGTCGAAGTTAGCTTCCGAATATCATCCAATCTCACGCATACCTTTAAGGTTAGTGTATGAACACCTTTCTTCCAAATTTTATCCGTCGAAAATATCTTTGGAATTGAACTGCCTCGCGCTTCGCTAACTTCGTTCGATATGACAAGGAGTAGTTACAAATTTCTTTTGCCATGTGCATTTTGTTTTAACACATTGATAACCCAAAACCAGTTGGAGTAGCCTTCAGAGAAATTACAGAGAACTTAATTGGATTATTTCATTGGAGCTCGAACCCTTGACACTCAACGAGAAACAGGCCAGCTCGGATACTGAATCACGCCGACAATCCTACTGCCGTACATCTCTTTCATTAAGAGAATGATTAGCAAAATTCAGTATACGCCACATGAACTTGCGTTGAGAAGCAGGTGCAGCAATCTTCGAGCCTTTTGCCTCACATTGTGTACTGGATAAGGTCATCCTATAATGTATTGATATCAAATGTCAAGGTGTTTAAGTTTATAACTGACTACATGTATTACATAAACCAATACTGAACGTATACATTGAAAACAGTAGACTCAACAACATCCTCGTGGTTTCATCATTCAGCACGAGGAAGACTTTGAATTTAAATTTCTCAAAGAAATTGTACTGTTTAGATTCAACTCAATTCTAGATATTACAACGAAAATTAATTTGATATATATATATATATATAACACGAGTTCGCTTATGTGGATTCTAAGAACTAATGGACGTTATCCACATATCCCTGAGGTCACAATAGTGGATGTTATCCACTATTGGCGATAACTGATAGGATATTCTAACTTTGAAGTTACAATGTATATTCAACGTTTGAAATTAAAAATGGAAAAGTAAAAATATCTTAGATTATTAATATGTGATGAAAATCACATAATAGATCATGTGTAATGAAAATAACTAAAGAAAAACATTCTTAACATTATTATCTAGGAAGTAGAAGAGAGAAAAATAAAAAAAATTTAATTTTTTTTTACTAATAGGGTTGTATTATGATTCTTAATCTAGGAAGTAGTAGAGGGAAAAATTACTAAATTTTACTAATAGAGTTAGATTCTCATTTTTAATCTAGGAAGTAATAGAATGAGACAAAAAAAGGAAAGATTTTACTTGTAGGGTTGGATTATCATTTTTAGTGCAGGAAATAGTGGAGAGAAAAGTAAAGAATTAAAAAGATGTTACTAGTAGGGATGGATTATCATTTTTAGTGCAGGAAATAGTAGAGAGAAAAGTAAAGAATTAAAAAGATGTTACTAGTAGGGTTGGATTATCATTTTTAGTGTAGGAAATAGTAGACAGAAAAGTAAAGAAATAAAAAGATGTTACTAGTAGGGTTGGAGTTTCATTTTTAGTGTAGGAAATAGTAGAGAGAAAAGTAAAGAAATAAAAAGATGTTACTAGTAAGGTTGGAGTCTCATTTTTAATCTAGTAAATAGTAGAGAGAAAAATAAAGAAAGAAAAAGATAGTACTAGTAGGGTTGGAGAAAGTTTAGGCAGGGAACGCAGATCGTTGTCCGCCAAGAAAGCAAGAAGCGACTGCAGGAGGTAGCGGGAGCTGCTGCTAGTGCTTATGGAGCTGGAGGAGCGGACAAGGATTGTGGAAGTGCAGGATGGTTCGTACAGATGGATTGATTGGTGGCAGGATGGTTGCGCCAGCCGAGAAAGGCAACAGAAATCAAAAGTTCGAAGTGCATTTTTAGATGCACTTTTTAACTGTGATTTCTCATGCAGGTACCGAGAGAATATGGTGGAAGCCACATCCAACAAGAACTGGGAGAATGTGGAAGGTTTCCGATTGTGTGAGATTGTCAAAAATTCCTAGAGAAGGTCTTGACAGTTGCTGGGGAGAGTATTGCTCGAGGAGGAAGAGGACTCCAGAGTTCCAACATGGCGTGGCTCCAGCTGGTGGAACAGGGTGGATCCTTTTGTGCTGATTTCTATGTCCATGTTGTTTCCCACAGGGAGACATATATCTTACTTGCACCAATGCGATGCGCTATAATGGGCCTGACACGATATACTACAAGCAGCTAGTATTCTGTCATCTGCTGTTTTTACGTAGCTTGTTATGTATTTGGTTTTGACCGATGCGTGTGTCTGAGCTTAATGCGAATTCTTAGCCCCGCTTCAGAGAACCGTAAATGGAGGGATTTGTGCTTGTTACAGTTGTAGAGAAGTTAAGACGTGAAGGATTTGTCAGGACTCGGTCTTACTCGAAGTTGCACATTATCGCAGGCACGCATCATTAAGGATATGGCAAAGAAAGCTCTGGAAGGCGTCAGAAATCAGCTTGCTGGAGAAGTTCGTAAACCCGTATCTCACAAGAAGAAGCCACCACCACCGAAAAAGTCCCATTCTAAAAAACCTACACCAAGTACGTCGCGGTTTGACGGCGCCGGTTCCGACTTCGCATCTATTGCGACGCCGGGCGCAGATGGAGATGGTGGAGGATGGTCCAATTCAACTGTAGATGCTGGGAAAGCAAAGAAAGGCGCTTCGATGGAGAAGCTAGTGAGTATGGACGAGGACTCCCAAAGTGAATGGGAATTGCAGGGTGGTGCTGGTGAAGGCAAAATGGATGGACAAGATGAGGGATCAGGTAGCTCACTGTCAACTAGCAGTTATTTCTTAAGACGATATGAAGATGAGGGAATATGCAGTAGTGATGCCTAAACCCTGGCGACGGCCCGCTGTCGATCTCGATCTCCAATGGTGATAGCGTGCTAGGACCACATAGTTGCCGACCACCTGAGACTCGCTTTGACTCTGCTGGTAAAGAGGCCTCACTCCAACTCTTCTTCACCAACCTATCAGCCTACTAGTGTAATGCGTGGCAAGAACTCCAAAGTGAGACATCGAAAGATGATTGTCAAGACTTGTTATAAGAGATTACACCAATAACACTATTATGTGATAAAAAATACCCTGTCATTGTAACCGGATACACTAGAAGGGCCCCCTGAGTAAAGAAAATACTAAAAAAAACCCACGTTACATTCAGACGTACATGTGTGTGGTAACTCACTTTTTGTTTTTGTGCGGAATTTAAAACATGTTTGGAAATCAGTACCGCAACAGCCGTATAAATGGTAATCGGTACATTTAAATTGAGTGAAGATGGATAACCGCAGGTCTCGTATGATCTCGAAGAATCCAGGAGTTGGGCGCAATGTCCGGAACAGGCGCCCCGACCCGCACGATTGTTTCTGAAGGGAATCTCCTCCGGCGCAAGGCGCATAATCCGCCTTCGGCGCTAGAGAAATCCCTCAGAACTAATTCAATTCAATGCCTTGACTTGATTAGGGTGCCGTTGGAAAGAGCTCAACGCGCTCATTCTAACGAGCCCAAGAATGCTTGGAACGGATGAGTAATCAAGGAGTTATGATTATCGGAAGGTACGGAGAGGGAGCGCCTTCGGCGGAAGGGCTAGGTCGACGGACGAGCCGCCTTCGGCCCTAGATGTTCGCCTTTGGGGGTGAACTTCTTTGTACACCCCGCCTTCGGCATTGGGAGTCAATGCCTTCGGCGGTAGAAACGCCTTCGGCGCTGCGGGTCAACGCCTTCGGCGGAAGGAGTTCGCCTTCGGCAGAACGCCTACGGCGAAGCGCTTTCGGCAGTGCGGGATAGATCAGAGTTGCAAGTGGGCCAGAGGCGGAAGTCTCCGCCGCCGCGCCTTCGGCGATACGCCTTCGGCGCTGCGCGAACACGGCCGCGGCGAAGTACGATGACAAAAATCAAATTCAATTTTTGAGCGTGTGAGTCCGCACAACGGCGGAGCGTGAAGTCGAGCGTGCGAGAGGAGGGCCGTTACCCCTCCAAGCCGGCGCAGCCATCAAGTGAGTCGAAACTCATGACCAAGTGTCGACAATGAAATCTTGTGAGCCGAGGGCGGGCGACTCATTCTTGAATTTGCGATTTCGATTTCTCGTGAGAGCTGCGCGCGCACACATTCTGGCAGAGAGAAATCCGAGAAGGCGACGCGCAGAGACTTGCATAGCAGAGGGAGAATTGAGTGTCCTTGCCCTCCTTGACTGAAATTTTCCTGTATTGCTCTGATCTGATAACATCCATCTTGTTCTCAAACGAGAATCCAAGCTCTCCTCTAAAGAAGCTAGCCTTAGGCCACCATACACCGTGACTTCCTTCTTGATCTTCTTCCCCTTTCCCTTTGGAATCCATTGTCTCGCTGGTTGCATCTGATTCTCCCTGGATCTCTTGAATCGTCTTCAGATCAGACTTAGTATCATCTGATCCGTGCATCTGCTCAACTCCTGGTGTGCATGGATTTATAGAAGACCTCAAGTTGTTGTTTGCACATGGATGATCTTCTTGTAACACCTCTCCTGAATGAATCGTATATGCATCATCCACATCTGATTTGTTTGAGAAATTTGAATCATACTCCTCACTAATCTGAGTCGTCTCACCTTCATGCTCCACCTTTTCCTACGACACTACTATTGGTTGCTTTCCGAATCTGAACTCCTTCTTTTCCCAATCAATAATCACCATAGCTTCGTACAACCAAGGCCTGGCAATTAGCATTGGATAGGTGGATGGCCTATCTGGTTTCATGACTGTAATAACCCACCAAAGGCTAAAACTACAGTATAGCAGCAAAAGGGTCAAACCGACAAGGATAGAGGCAACACACAGAGTACTAAATGTCACGTTTAATAGACTATTGAAGAGTTTGAATTCTGAGGCGACTCTCACTCCCAAGAATACTGCAAGTGCTCAACTCTGAGGTCACTCGGAGGACACACAATGCAGCGTAGTACCACCCAACACACACCTGAAACTGGAAAAGCACACTCAGAGGTCGAGTATGACCTCCTCTTAAGGTTCAGGGGGAAAGTTTTTCAAGAGTACACTCAGAGTATCTACAGGTAGTGACTCCCAACTCCGGCTTTTACAACCCTTCCACTAATTTCTGCTAGCGCAGGGCACCCGGGTTGGACTTCCTACTTCAAACCGAAGTCACTCTCACGCGGTGAACAACACACTCAACTTACAAAACGCGCAGAGAATACAAGAACCGAACTGAGAAACTCAACTGAGAAAAGATCCAATGTCACACCATAACAATCTACTAACGAGTTTGAATTCTCAGGCAATAGTCATTCCCATAAATACTGCAGAGGCTAGCCCCGAGGGCGTCTTCTACAGCGTAACTTGAATCTACAACCAAGGCTTACTCGAAGTAACAAAACTTCACTTTGGCATTCAGGGGAAAAATCCCGAAGGAGTACAAACAGGAACAATCACCCGAAGGTGTAAGGACAAACTGCTCAAGTATCTAACCAGTTACCAGCTCTGAGCATTCAGCAATCACCCGCAGGTGTCGATACAAACTGCTCAAGTATCAACCGGTACACTAGCTCTGAACATTCGGCCGAAGGCCTTCAGCTACAAAATGCGGTAACTTCGTCAAGCTGTAGCTCCTATTGCGCAGTGACAGAACTAAGTACACAAACGCGCACAGAAAATGAGTTCCTGATCTGCACTTCCGAAACTGGAAAAATCCCAAGGCAAGACGCCTTGAACTACTTTATACCTCCTAAGTCCTAACTACCTAACACTCTACACTACACTACACTCCATGTCATCTGCTATGTCTCCTGCGCGACGGACTACCGCGCACTAACTTCCTACCCGACCAGTCGTCGGCTCTGCTGCGCAACCCCAGCCGCCGAAGTACCTCGGTCATCTCTGCCTTGAGGTTTGCAATGGCGTCTCGCGACCTTGTTAGAAAAGCATCTAACCTCTTCGCGACCCGCCGCCGGCTCCAACTGTCACCCGACATCAATTCCGCCGCACGAATCTCTAACCCGCGCAGTGTGATTCTCTCCTGCGCAGCCACTTCCTAGTGAGTGTAACCTTTGACATAGCGGTTCACTCGCTCTGCCAACTCCTCCCGCGTGCAATCTGTCGCGCGCCGGCGATCGCCTTCAACCTTTACCGGATGCAGCTCTACCTCTGCACGCTGCGCTCTCAATTCGCCGCACTGCGATTGCAGGTGACGAATTAACTCTTCATCGGCTTGACGTGCGCTCTAACACTGCTCTAGTAACCGTGACTGTCGCACGAGCTCCTCCGCGAGCTTCTCCCACTGCTTCGCAAATTCCTTCTCCGCTTCGTCCAACTTCTCATCTCGCAGCTTGTTGACCGCCTTCTGCAACTTCCGCAAAATGGCGAGGTGTCCACGCAGGGCCTCGTTCTTCAATCTCAAATCCTTGATTGTCTCGTCCAAGGAAGCCAACAACCGACTTGTCTTGACCTTGGTCCGCGTCCGATTGCGCACCAATTCGACGTAGGACCCCTGATGGCGGGGATCACCATACTTCGCCACCTTGCGATCAAGGTACCTCTACAGGGGTACCACCTGCTTGCACAAGACTCATGTCGGCGTGCCTTGCACCAGCTCCTCTTCCTGCTCCTCCGAGCTCGACTCATCCTCGTCATCCTCCGAATTGAGGATCTCGGTCGCTACAGAATTCCCCGGCGACTCCCGGGAGTTGGGTTGCGTGGCTTCTGCTGCCGCGGCCACCGCTCCACTCCCTCCCAAAATATCTAATGCGGTGGGAGACCCGGCTCCCGACAAGTCCGCTCCTCCTGCTTGATTTGCTACCACCGAAGGCGACTGTGCCGAAGGCACACGTGTCTCCTCCTTCCATCCTTCGTCCGTCGCCGTTCCCTCACATTAGGCCTGCGCCAAAGGAGTATCGCCGAAGGCGTCTACCGCCGAAGGCGCTTGACCCGAAGTCCGTTGAGCCGAAGGCTCCTCCTCACTCCTCTGCTGCGCCGAAGGCTCTTGACCCGAAGTTGAGCATCGAATGGTACTTGCTTGGAAGCGCAGCACCTGTCCGTCGTCGGCACATTCGTCGGTGCTGCATGTTGTCTTTTTTGACCCGAAGGCCTTCTTGCTCTTGCCGAAGACGTCCGTGCCTTCGGTGCAGGGAGGTCCGCTGACCTCTCCGCAGTTCGTGCACTCGCATCCTCCCCTGAGGATGGCGAGTTTCTCCTCTCTTCAGCTCTTCCCGTTTCTGCGCTGCTTGCCGGCAGGACGAGCCTGCGAGCCTTCTGCTTAAATCGACTGCAGAGCTCTGTCATCGGCCGCTTTCGGTTGGGAGCAGCAGCATCGCATTGCTAGCTCTGCTCCGCCTCTCCTTTCCACTTTCGCTTCCGCGGCACTCGTGCTACGAGCGGTTCTTCCTCCGCCCTCGGTTGAGCTGGTGGCGTGCAAGCGGGCGTCTCATCTTCGTCGGTATCGACTTCGACATCCTTCACATATCGGCCCGGATTGCTGCGTGACAGCAATGGAAATTGTACCCGATCCGTCGCGGTCAAACATCCCATCGACCGATAGAAATTGATCAAGAAGGGGGAGAGGTGATTGATCGATCCTCCCTTCTCCTCGAATGCATGTTGTCTCGTCGCCTTCCAAAGAATGCGAGCCCAATGAATCGGAGCTCCGGACAACGCCAGCTCCACGAACCCCACCTGCCAAGAAGTTATGTAGGTGGTCCGGTGCGGCTGCAAGAGTTGAATGAGTGCTACCGCGACATTCCTCCGGAAGCAATCCTTGTAGTCACAGGTCTTGTACCCGTTCTTGCTCGACTTGCTATGCTTGAACAGCGCTCCGAAGGAAGCTTCTTCCTCCTTCGAGACATTGACACTCTCGCACTCGAATAGAAGATGGCTTTCTTCTCCCGTGCATCTTCCTAACACCTGCTCCTAGTCACTAACTTCCCATCGCTCCGGGTGCGGTCGGAATCCGCGCGTAGGTTGATCCTTGTCCCGCAGCCACTTGCGTATCATATCCGGACACACCCAATTCCATCGCCATAGGAGGAAATCGAGTTTCACCGTAGTCAGCTCGCGCTGAAATGCGTGCAACCCAATCTGCGATAGCTTTAGCGGAATTATCCACAACTGCGTAGCCTTCGACATCGCGTTCTTGAATTCGGCAGCGCA